ATGAATTCACCCCTGAATATGGAAAAAAAGTTAGAAAATATTTTATATTTCTTTATTAGTTTAGATTTATAATATAATTGATATCCCGTACTAAACTTTCACTCACAATCATATTCTGACTTTCTATACCACGGACGAAATAATCTTTTAAATTAGCAAAATGAATTTTCAGTTTTAATGTCCAATTTGAATGAAACATTAATAATATACTGTAGTTAATCGAATTGTAAATATTTAAATCTTAATTTTTTGTAAAATTACAAATCTTTTAATATGCTTATTAATTTTACGAAATTATCTGTGAATTTAGTATTGATGGCATTTCCAGATGAGAATTTGCCTCTTTTTAATCGGAATTTTTTAAATTTTCATTTAAATAGACTATTTCTACTCGTGCGATTCATAAAAATATTAATTTAATACTTACTAAATTTATATCATTTAATATTTGTCATCATTCATACGTCGTTATTTTGGAATAAATTTATTTCAAAACGAGACACCTTAGTAGTGTGTTGCCTCTGTACGTCATACTTTTCCTACAATGACATAATCATACCAGTCATCCATGTAACTCCATTCTGGAAAAGCATTTTGAATTGAAATCACGTTACTCCCGTTTTAGACCGTCAGCTTGTATATAGTTAATCCCAGCCTTCTGTCCCCATTCTTTTCAGCCCTTGTTTTTATTTTCATCTATCTAACACGATTTTCGAGATCAACGAAGGACAGACAGTGGCAATTTATAGTTCTTCAATTTTTTCTAATTACATTTCAATTAGAGGACTTATATTTAACATATTTTACTAATTTTGATTATTGTTTTAAAAGTGAAATTATGTTAATATTCTGCGTAATATTTGATCACACGTATTTAATATATTTAAAATTATTGTTATTATTTTTCATTGATAAAAATATTTTTTCTTTTTCTAGGAAAGACGAACGTGTTGGCAGAGTTTCGTGCAATTTCTTCGCCGACTGCCATTTTTGGTCCTTCCTTGCTGGAAACCGCCAAACTAACGCGGTTGATACGAAAGGAACCAGAAAAGATTCCAACAAATGAATCTCGGGGCATTTCGAGAAATTTAAAATTAAAATTTGCAAATCAATAAATTGTGAATTGATTTAATTTAGTTATTTTAAAATTTATTATAAAACTTTAATTATTCTTTCATAAAATGTATGATCTGTTTAAGTNCTGTTTTAGTGTTCTGTGATCTTCGTTTTCCAATACCAAAATTTGTCTTGGAGTCAATGGAACATAAGCATCTTCCTGGTGAACAGAATTATGAGAAATAAGATTTTGAAATATTTCTTGAAAATTACGTTAACTTAAACAATAAAGTTAAATTTATGTTTAATAGTTTTATCATAAATTAACATAATGCCAATGAAGATTTTATTACAGGTTTATTTGAAAACAGAGGCAATAGAAAATGAACCCGATTACCATCACCAACGATAATAATTCAATTAAGCAAGGCTAAATTTATATAATAATAAAAAAATGTAGAGTCAATTTAAATATTATAGAACGTTTTCGTCTGATTGTGCATTACCAATAATCAGCTTTTAAGTGATATAAGGATTAACAATTTAGTTTGAAACAATTTAATTAAATTTAAACTTACGAGTGAAAATAATTCCATATCATCTGAGTCGTCATTGTCAGTCTCTGTAATATTAGAGATCATTTCTTGTTTAGTTATTTTCGCTGAATCTTCAGCGCTGATGCCATCGAGATTAATTGGGGACGGTTGGTTTGTGTCACCAACAGCAGTTTCAGGATCAGAAACTAAAGTATAAAAGAAAACCCCAAAACACAGTCATTAGTAAACAGATGAATTCAAGTGCTATAAGTAATAGATATGTATATAGGTACAATTTAGGTTATTTAGGTACAATTAACCCATAAAGTTTTTTCATCAATTTTGAGGAAATATTTTTGAAAAATTGATTTTTTAAAAGTAAGATGAATTCAAGTGTTATATGTGAATTTGAGAGTAAAGCTACAAATAGATTACACGAAATAAACAGATCAAATGAGAACTGACAAAAGATATTTTGAAGACTTAAAAATATTTAAGTTATATTTTATAATTTTACATTTGAATTTATTTTATATGAAAAGCTCAGAATTACAATAAATTTACTTTGTTAATTAATAACAATTTACAAAACTTAATTAGGTTATGTTTAAAAATTTGTTGAAATTTTATCAAGCTATAAAAGCATAAATAATTTTATGTTAATTAATGTGTATCAAGTGCAAATTATCACACACAAAGTCAAGTTAAGCTATAATATTACAGAATGTTTATTGCATGTTGATGTAAAATGCTTGCATCTTTACTAATGCATAATAAAAACGCTTGAATATTGATAGAATTTAAAGAAAATAATCTATACAAAGATGCTATTTATATGGAATTTAAAGTTTTAGTTTAATAATTATTTTGCTTTTAAACAGAAAATTGTTTTTGTACTCGATAACTCACAATAAAAATTGTCAGTGAATGACTTAAAACAAAACAAATGCAAGATTTAATATTCTCTGTATAAGACATTCCGATAAATAAGTATTACTTCGATTTATTTAATATTGAACATGAATTTTCAAAGTTCTTTAATTAACAAACTCAAAGTTCTAAATGCAATGTTCGCATATCAGCGATTACCCATTGCTTTGTTCTGTCTTCTCGTTTAGTCTCTCTCTTTATCACATTGAATCTTAATCTTTCTTTATACACTTCAAACTATATTAAGACGATCGTCTAAGTTTTGTATTTAAAATTTCATCACGTATATTTTGTCTCGGCTGCTGTACAAGACCGGGCCACAGGGGTAAAACCTTTGCTTTTCATCCCTGTTCATGTAGATATGTGAACATTTTTGTGTTTTTAACATTTTTATAACAAGTCATTTGTCAACATTTTAACACGTGCATTAGGAAAATCTTATTACGTAACAAATTTCCGGCTTTATCGCACGCCCTCGGTCCGAATTAGTGCGTTAAATCGAAGTTTAACTGTATTCTATTTCACGAATAAACGTACCAATGTAAATGACCAGAACTGTGAACATCGAATGATCGGTGTCCACGGCTCTGCCTGTTTATACTGTTTCTCTATACTTGTTTTTTTTTTATTTGTTACTACGGTGTATTACTTTTATGTTTTATCTATATTTATCTGCTTGGTGTTATATAAATAAATCAGCTCGGCTGCCTTAGCTTTAGAGATGCAGCTTCGACTTTCTTGTCATTAACCCTGCGAACTGTTATTTGAAATACTGGTGCATGATCATTGACATATAAGTTTTTGTATTATATATTTAGTCTGTTATAATTATTATTATACGTTTAAAGGAATTTACCATTAAAGTTTGGATCTGATACAACTTCACAAGTTTCGAATGAGGAAAGCACGTCGGCTTCCGTATTTGTTACTTCTTTCTGGGTGTTTTGTTCCGGTTCCGGGTTATTTTGCAACACATTTGGTTGCCCCGGATGTAGCAACGTTTCTGCTACAGAAGAATATTCCGATTGGTGTGTTTCCATCCGAAATGCAGGAAATTCTTCGAGAGGTTCACTTTCGTCCGTTTCTGCTTGTGGCTGATGCTGAAATGCCTGCAAGCCGTGATCCACGACTCCAGATGGCGGTCCGTACACACCATCTTCAGTTGGAAGTCGATAAGCAAGCATTGTAGGGGCTTGCTGGTGTGGAAAATATTGAAAATATAATCCATATCCTTCTGGCAGGACATACTAAGGAATTAAACACAGAATTGATTAGTTATAAAAATATCAAATACTGAATGTATTTTTAATTGCTAATGGAAGCATTCTAACATCACTTGNTTAGAGATGTTTTTTGAAGTGGGATAGTTGTATAATATTATTTTATTACAGTGATAGTCGTTTACCAAAGTATCCATTTTATATTGCATCAGATCTTTTTGAAGTTTTAAATTATCAATATGCAGTTTTAAGTTATCTATTTGATCTTCCATTCTTTGGAATTGAATTTTGTTTTCTCGTATGGTATCGTGTATTAAGTTCAATTCTTCTTTTAATGATGTCATTTGTACAGATAGTTTATCATTCGATGTATTAATTAATTCCGAGATTTTGTTCCATAGATCTACTGTTAAAGTCTTTCGAATTTAACGGCGAAGATGAATAAAAGTCTCTGCACTCACCTGATAGATTTTGTAGATGTTGTGGAATGGTATCCATATTAGTTCCATTTAAATTTGTCGGAAATTCTTGTATATTTTTTCCACTATTGTGTTATAATCAGTTATCAGTTTCGTGTTGGTCGCGTGTTGTTGCATTCTTTTGCTTTCGGTTTTCGTTCGGCTGCTCGGAGGTCGACCACGTTTAACAGGAGAACGTACCATAATTATTAGTTGTTATTAAACCTTGTAACTAGTAATTTCTTATTAGTTTAGAACAATTATTAATTAAAAAAGTTGAAAAAAAAATTTGTACAAGTTCCTTGTTACTTTCCGAAGTGTCACCAACAGCGCTGCCGTCCGGATACGCCCCTTTATTAAAATTTATTAGAAGACACTCCGACAGTTCCCTTGTTAGTGTGCGTTTCCATGACGTATCCTAACTGTCTACCAAATTTCACCTCTTTATGTTAAGCGGTTTGCTCTGGGCGATGATGAATCAGTCAGTGAGTCAGTCAGGACAAGCAATTTTATATATTTAGATATAAGCTGGATTACGATACCATTATTAAGGAGTTCAGTAAGGCTAAAAGCAGGAAATTTCTATTTCTTTAATTTTTTTTAAAATTTTTCTTTAATTAATGTTAGTCAAAGAATATAGTTTGCATTTTTATGAATAAAAATTTGACAGTTTCAACTGCTTTTTATTTTATAAAATCCGTCATCTTGCGCCACCAGAGGGCCTCGCGAAATGTACCTTGCCCACATCAAATTTAGGTCTTGCTCCGCCACTGGGCGAATGTACTGGTTTAATAATACTTGTTTCGTCCCATTTGACGATTGAGCCCTCAACCTGCGCCAATTGTGATAGTATTGTGGCGTTAGATCTTTTGCTGATATTTTATTTGTGTTCTTTTAATCTGACTCCTAAACTTCTATTAGTGACACCAATATAATTTTTATTAATGTCTAGTTCACGATTTTCATATGGAATCTTGTATACACCTGCTCTTTTTTCTTTATCTGTGCTGTCTTTGTCGTTCCTTAATAATTTGTACAGGTTAGGAGCTCTCTTGAAAATTAACTTGGACTTTTTGCGGGCTGAGATTTCCTTTATGATGGCTTTTCTCTTTCTATCATAAGTGAACATTGTGATTTTGCCGAAATCGCCGTTTTGAGCCTTATTTTTGTTTATTTTGTAATTTCTGATCAATGTTGTTATCATATCTTCTCTGTACCCTAGATACCTGGCAATATGTAATATTCTATTAATTTCTTTTTGCCAATCCACCACCCTACTGCAATAGAGAAAGGCCCTTTGGACAAGGGCACGGAAGGCAGCCATTTTGTATTGGTAAAGATCATTAGAGTGGGACGGAATGTACAGAGGGCTATGCATCGGTTTTACGTACACATTAGTGGCCAAATGTCCTTCTTTAAATTCAATGTCAACATCTAAAAAATGTATCCGTGAGGCACATTTCTGTTCAATCTTCAGCATGTTGTTGATCATGTTAATAAACTCATCAATTTTTTGGTCATTCTTTCAAATTACCAAGACATCGTCAACGTATCTTTTAAAATACACAATGTCATTTAAGAAATCAGAAAGAGCGCTTTTTCCAAATTTCTTAATACAAGCTCACACAAAAGTCGTNTCTTCCAGGCTACAGGTGAAAAAACACATAATATCTGTCTTCTCTTAAATGCATTAAACATGATTCCAATCACATCAATTAAATCGGAAAGGGCATTCTCGGTAGCAAGACTTTTCATTACTAAAATAAGAATTAGAGTGAGTGATCGGAGTATTGATCATCTTTGCTTTTTAAAATCTTACAAAAGTTTACAATATTTTGTATTATATTTTATTTAAAAAACGAAAATTACCTTCTAAGTTATAAGTTTGATCTAAGTTCAATTTTTAATTTTTAACTCAATTCAAAGCATTTTTTGTTGTTGTTGTATGCAGTTTCTAGCAAACTTTAATAAATTTTTTTTCTATTTGTGAAAATTTCTACGTAATTTAAAGGTAATTTTTATTATATATCTTACACAGCATTATTTATATGATTTTGGATGATACAGAACTTTAAAAAATAAAATCAAACCAATAATTCACATTATTAACTCCATTATTTTACCTACTTTTAGATACTCAGTGAAAATGTGTTATTTATGCAAATTAAACAACAAACCAATTATTATTTCTAAAATTTATTACGTTATTAAAAACTTCCTTTCTGTATAATATTATTATTATATTTTTTACAAATATACAGTAAAATATGTACACATCAAAAAGTTATTTTAATACATTATTCTTCATATACAATCTTAACAATAATTCAATTATTCAGAATCAAAAAATTTTAAATTTTTAGACTTTACATATCATTATTAATTATTAAATTTACAGCAACTTAACTTAAAAAAAAAAAAAAAGGTAAAATTCTAGAAGTAAACCATTTTTAAAATTTAATCATATCTGTATGCCAATTTGTGAGCTTAACTAAATTTAAACTGATTTGTTGACATAATTTTCATTAACCAAAGTCTTATGATATCTTCCAAAAGGTAGAATCAAGGATACCTGATGGTTGAGGGACTGTGCCTTTCTTAAAGTATTCTTCTAGAAAACTTTCTAATCTTTGGAGAGGTCCACCAGATCCAGGTAATGTAGCCTGTTTTATTTTTGGAAGAAATTCAATAGCTAATGCTTCAATAAGTTTTTGAAACTGCTTTCCGTAAGTCTTTTGCATTACGTAGCCAGCAACTTCAAGAAAATCTACTAGAATTGTTGCAGTGATATCTGATCGTGGTTCCAAATTTAAGAGTCTAGCCAACCAAATCCATGCATGTTTCATTCCATGTGGATGTGGACTGTTCAAAATGGGAGGAGTTTGAATGACAGCAGCATAAAGGCGAACTATTCCACTCATTCTCTTCAAAAACATAACTTGCTTTTCAATAACACCTTCAGAGTAAACATATCCCAGTTGTCTAGAAAAAATTAAATTAAATTGTAATTATAGAAATTTCAGTTCTTTGATTCTTTTCAAAGTCAAAGTTTGTAAAAATAGCCAATTTCTTATGTTTTATTTTGTTGGAAAAGTTTCTTTTATCTTTAAAACCTTTAAGGTCAAATTATTAACAAGTTTACATAAAACATAATAACAGTATTAAAGGCAGTATTGTAAAGTTAGAAATATATTTAGATGTATTGCTAAATATGGCTTTTCTTTGTATGTGAAAATAACTAGAATTTATAAAAAGTTAAAATTCACAACAATCCATTTAAATTGAACATTGTCCAGGGGTCATGCTGCATAGTGCCAAAATTTCAGCTTGGTGATATTTTTATTGAAGCAATGATAAGAATCCTAGTCTGCTTATTTGAACATTCAATGTGAAATTGAATCACAAAGTACACTTCAAGAAAAACAGAAGAATGTTAGGCTCCTGAGTGATGGGAGTTATGACAAGATCATGACATTATACAGAAAGTTTGGACAGGAAAGCAGGAAGTAATGTCAAAAACCAAATGCAGTTTTCATGCAATGCCACCCAGCATTTCCAGAATGGGGAATTTTTACTGACTTTTTTCTCACTTTTTAGTAGAGAAAAAAGATGTGAAAAAATTCATGCAGATGTGAGAAGAGGGAAAAAACAGGTAAAAGAGAACTTTTGGAATCAAAATTTGCACTCGCAATGCCATTTATACAGAAGAGGGAAATGGAGTCTCATGTATAACATGCAAAAAATGCACAAGTTTTCCTTGAGAGAGAAAGTTCAACCTTGTTGAACTTTTCCATGAGTTAGTGTATGCACAGTAGTCTGGCAGCCTTGCTTCCACACAACAATGCAACAATGGAAAATGCCAGTTATCTGTGGAACACAAACAAATGACCTGAGAAGTGCAAAAAAACACAGGGAGACCATAAATAAAAAAGAAAATGTTAATAGAGTAGTTTTGTTTATTTTTCTTTAACTTTACTTTGTTTAAAATTCATTGACTTTTCCTTCCCACTGTTGCAAGAATGCAACTAGAGGGAAAACAAGGAGTATTCCTGTAGGTTCTCAATTTCAGTTCACTTGGTTTTCCATTCCCTCCTGTGTTTTTATTTCCTCTTTCATTTCTGGCATATGCACAAATGCAGTCTAAAGAATAAAAATTTTGACATGACAGATCATGTGAAATACTGCTTAAAGGCTGGTATACACGGTAAGGAAATCCTCAAAGGATGTGCTTAACAGACGAAAAAAACTCGGATATAACTGGCTGGATCGAACATAGTAATTTACAAAACTTATTAAAATATCTCCCAACGTATAAAGAATTGTTTTTATTTAAAAATGAATAGATAGAAAAAAAATAACGGTTAATCCTCAAAGGATTTCCTTACCGTGTATACCAGCCTTAAGCATTGTGATCAAATGTGTTATTTGGAATTATTAAAAAAATTATTCTTATTTCTAAGTGACAACTTAACTTGTTACTTTTCTTTTCCACACTCCAAATTGATAAGACTACCAACACTTGCATTAATTGGTAAAACTAGCAGAGATAAATAATTTGAAATTAAAAAAAAAAAATTAAAACTGGCAAAATGATTTGTGATTTTTAAAAATTTTCCAAAATGACTCAATTGTCTGAATTTTATGTTCTAAGTTTAAAGAAAGATTTAAAAACATTGACAAATATTATTTTTAAACATTTTAGTTCAAGTAGAATGGAACATGATTCTTTCACTTTTGCTAGATAAGGTCCAGTTAAGAACAGATTATTACATTCTTACATTTCAGATATACATATATATTTCTGAAGTTCAAAAAAAAGCACTACATCTGTAAGATGCTATTATATTTTATGTAATATAGTAAACTTGTTAAATTGTTTGCATTGACTTGTTATATATATTATGAACAAAATCATCTTAAAATAGAAAAGAACTAAAACACAAGTTATTACATATAGAAATTAAACTATAACTTTCAAGTTACCTATAGTAATCGTCTTCACTCTGTCCTTCTTTACGGGGTATATAATAAGGAACTAGATAAGGACATTTCTTATAAAGATGGGCAAGAAATAATTTTAGTAGATCAGGATACTTTTGACATAAAAATACTGTTAATGCTGCAAGTGGAAATGCTGCTTCTGGTCTTGAGGATATTTGACTTTCACCCTGACCCTAGAATGATGTAAAGAATGTAAATTTATTAATTCAAACATTGTTATACAAAAATTACATATAAATATTTTAAAAACACTTACAACTATTTTTTTTGCAAGGAGATCCAAACAAAAATATTTTCCTTCAGAACAGACATTTATACAAATTGTCTTGCCAGCAACCTCAATGTTATGTCCAGACAAAAATGTTTCCAAACGCTTCATTTTATCATGCAAATGTTCAGCAGATACATCAGATGTACTATTTATTGGTGTATTTACAGCCTTTTGCAAATCAAACTTTGCCTTTTTCCACTGAAATTTTTCAAAATAAAATGATAAATTAGAAAAATTTTAANGCTTTGTGTCCACGGGTAAGGATAAGTAAAAGTAAAATAATGATGTCAGTAAAGAATTTTGAAACCATATTCCTTTTGCTTCTTACGTATTTTGAATTTGGTTTTGTATGAAGCGGCTGAATTATCTGTAAATCTATCTCTTAGAATCGTAGGAAGTGTATAATCTTCCTACGATTCTATCTCTTAGAATCTATCTCTTAGAATCTATCTCTTAGAATCTCTTAATCTATCTCTTAATCTCTTAATCTCTTTATCTCTTAATCTATCTCTTAGAATCGTAGGAAGTGTATAATCTTCCTACGATTCTAAGAGATAGATTTACAGATAATTCAGCCGCTTCATACAAAACCAAATTCAAAATACGTAAGAAGCAAAAGGAATATGGTTTCAAANCTTAATCTCTTAATCTCTTTATCTCTTAATCTATCTCTTAGAATCGTAGGAAGTGTATAATCTTCCTACGATTCTAAGAGATAGATTTACAGATAATTCAGCCGCTTCATACAAAACCAAATTCAAAATACGTAAGAAGCAAAAGGAATATGGTTTCAAAATTCTTTACTGACATCATTATTTTACTTTTACTTATCCTTACCCGTGGACACAAAGCTATAATAAATAAAGACTAACAAATAATGACAAATAATGAAGAAACGCAACGCCACGCGACATGCCGAAGAAAAATATTAAATCGAGATTCGTAGCCAAGTTTTTGACGAACAAATAATAGCAAAACCAGTATGATATAGAAAAAATAGTAATGTTAAACAGNAATAAAGACTAACAAATAATGACAAATAATGAAGAAACGCAACGCCACGCGACATGCCGAAGAAAAATATTAAATCGAGATTCGTAGCCAAGTTTTTGACGAACAAATAATAGCAAAACCAGTATGATATAGAAAAAATAGTAATGTTAAACAGTGCTAATCCTCCGATATATTTATATTAGGTTTCTCATATTGAAATAAGCAATTAACTGATTTTCGCGCGCGTGACGCGCGTCAAACGCGCCGCGCAACAATACTTATGTCGTGTATTGTCGCGTTAACAATAACTGCTTCTAGTTTTGGCCATTGTCGAAGCGAGTTAAGCTTTTTGTCGGAGTTTATTCGATGCGCTTTCATTTCATGCGAAATAATTTTTTTAATATGAATACAATTAGTAAGCTTACCTTATCTTATTATATATACTGTAATTACAATTATATTCATTAGAAGACCGCAGATAGCTAATATAAATAAAAGTATCTCATTCACCGCAATTATTAATATAACTTTTAGAAAATAAATAAAAATATTCTCTTGTAAACTATGACGAATATCCTTAATGTATTTTCTCATTTCAATGAGATGATTGAAAGCAGAAAATTACCGACTGCCATTTAATAACTATAAAATTATCGACTGACATTTAATAATTATAAAATTATTGTTTACAGATATTGGATGCTTTTGTATCGAAACTATTTTCCGATACGAAGATGGTTTCTACGTAACTTACGATTATCAGGTAAGTGAAAAGAGAAATTTTAAAATACTATAAACAAACACAATAATGAATGCAGAAATATTTAGAGGGTGGGCAGAAAATTCTATGATTTAGCGATTACAATGTCATGTCAATAGGAATTCTTAATTAATCCTAAGTTAATCACGTAAGAATTCATGAGACAAAAGACAAAAGACATAACAATTTTAAGTTAGACAAAGTATTTGCCAGATACAGAAGCTTAAAATGAATTAAAACTTATGATTTTGTAAAAAATAGTGTTTTAATATATGTCTTTAATATCAAGATTACGGTGTTTCTTGTCTCTTATTTTACTGAGTGACTGGTTAATATTTATAAGAATTTCAATAATTGGTGTTTTGACGACCGAGATTTAAAACTAAAAGCTTCTTATTTGTATTAATTAAATCAAACGCTAAATATACACTCGTGTAACAAAATATAAACGTTCCCGAAGAAAAAAAAATTTGTCATAAAAAATTATTTTCGTTTAAAGTCAAACTGCTTATAAAGCAATATAATATTTGAAATGTTATGGAGCAAATTTTCAAATTATTATATTATTAGTTTTTTTATTCTTTTGTACAGCAAAAAATTAAAATTCAATTCATTGAAAATAAATTATACAAGTGATGTTAGAATGCTTCCATTAGCAATTAAAAATACATTCAGTATTTGATATTTTTATAACTAATCAATTCTGTGTTTAATTCCTTAGTATGTCCTGCCAGAAGGATATGGATTATATTTTCAATATTTTCCACACCAGCAAGCCCCTACAATGCTTGCTTATCGACTTCCAAGTGAAGATGGTGTGTACGGACCGCCATCTGGAGTCGTGGATCACGGCTTGCAGGCATTTCAGCATCAGCCACAAGCAGAAACGGACGAAAGTGAACCTCTCGAAGAATTTCCTGCATTTCGGATGGAAACACACCAATCGGAATATTCTTCTGTAGCAGAAACGTTGCTACATCCGGGGCAACCAAATGTGTTGCAAAATAACCCGGAACCGGAACAAAACACCCAGAAAGAAGTAACAAATACGGAAGCCGACGTGCTTTCCTCATTCGAAACTTGTGAAGTTGTATCAGATCCAAACTTTAATGGTAAATTCCTTTAAACGTATAATAATAATTATAACAGACTAAATATATAATACAAAAACTTATATGTCAATGATCATGCACCAGTATTTCAAATAACAGTTCGCAGGGTTAATGACAAGAAAGTCGAAGCTGCATCTCTAAAGCTAAGGCAGCCGAGCTGATTTATTTATATAACACCAAGCAGATAAATATAGATAAAACATAAAAGTAATACACCGTAGTAACAAATAAAAAAAAACAAGTATAGAGAAACAGTATAAACAGGCAGAGCCGTGGACACCGATCATTCGATGTTCACAGTTCTGGTCATTTACATTGGTACGTTTATTCGTGAAATAGAATACAGTTAAACTTCGATTTAACGCACTAATTCGGACCGAGGGCGTGCGATAAAGCCGGAAATTTGTTACGTAATAAGATTTTCCTAATGCACGTGTTAAAATGTTGACAAATGACTTGTTATAAAAATGTTAAAAACACAAAAATGTTCACATATCTACATGAACAGGGATGAAAAGCAAAGGTTTTACCCCTGTGGCCCGGTCTTGTACAGCAGCCGAGACAAAATATACGTGATGAAATTTTAAATACAAAACTTAGACGATCGTCTTAATATAGTTTGAAGTGTATAAAGAAAGATTAAGATTCAATGTGATAAAGAGAGAGACTAAACGAGAAGACAGAACAAAGCAATGGGTAATCGCTGATATGCGAACATTGCATTTAGAACTTTGAGTTTGTTAATTAAAGAACTTTGAAAATTCATGTTCAATATTAAATAAATCGAAGTAATACTTATTTATCGGAATGTCTTATACAGAGAATATTAAATCTTGCATTTGTTTTGTTTTAAGTCATTCACTGACAATTTTTATTGTGAGTTATCGAGTACAAAAACAATTTTCTGTTTAAAAGCAAAATAATTATTAAACTAAAACTTTAAATTCCATATAAATAGCATCTTTGTATAGATTATTTTCTTTAAATTCTATCAATATTCAAGCGTTTTTATTATGCATTAGTAAAGATGCAAGCATTTTACATCAACATGCAATAAACATTCTGTAATATTATAGCTTAACTTGACTTTGTGTGTGATAATTTGCACTTGATACACATTAATTAACATAAAATTATTTATGCTTTTATAGCTTGATAAAATTTCAACAAATTTTTAAACATAACCTAATTAAGTTTTGTAAATTGTTATTAATTAACAAAGTAAATTTATTGTAATTCTGAGCTTTTCATATAAAATAAATTCAAATGTAAAATTATAAAATATAACTTAAATATTTTTAAGTCTTCAAAATATCTTTTGTCAGTTCTCATTTGATCTGTTTATTTCGTGTAATCTATTTGTAGCTTTACTCTCAAATTCACATATAACACTTGAATTCATCTTACTTTTAAAAAATCAATTTTTCAAAAATATTTCCTCAAAATTGATGAAAAAACTTTATGGGTTAATTGTACCTAAATAACCTAAATTGTACCTATATACATATCTATTACTTATAGCACTTGAATTCATCTGTTTACTAATGACTGTGTTTTGGGGTTTTCTTTTATACTTTAGTTTCTGATCCTGAAACTGCTGTTGGTGACACAAACCAACCGTCCCCAATTAATCTCGATGGCATCAGCGCTGAAGATTCAGCGAAAATAACTAAACAAGAAATGATCTCTAATATTACAGAGACTGACAATGACGACTCAGATGATATGGAATTATTTTCACTCGTAAGTTTAAATTTAATTAAATTGTTTCAAACTAAATTGTTAATCCTTATATCACTTAAAAGCTGATTATTGGTAATGCACAATCAGACGAAAACGTTCTATAATATTTAAATTGACTCTACATTTTTTTATTATTATATAAATTTAGCCTTGCTTAATTGAATTATTATCGTTGGTGATGGTAATCGGGTTCATTTTCTATTGCCTCTGTTTTCAAATAAACCTGTAATAAAATCTTCATTGGCATTATGTTAATTTATGATAAAACTATTAAACATAAATTTAACTTTATTGTTTAAGTTAACGTAATTTTCAAGAAATATTTCAAAATCTTATTTCTCATAATTCTGTTCACCAGGAAGATGCTTATGTTCCATTGACTCCAAGACAAATTTTGGTATTGGAAAACGAAGATCACAGAACACTAAAGCATGAACTGATGAGTTTAGATGTTCTCTGTCATGCTCTTGGTATTATCTACGAAGAGGAAGAACATGAAT